CCCGGCATGCCTGTGTCTCTCGGCGCCGGCTCGGCCCACGCGGGGCTCTGCTCTCCGCCCTGCCAGGCGTCTTCACGGAGTGTCACCGCAAGGACGAGGAGCGAGCCCAGAAGCTGCTGGTCCGCGTCTCCGAGGCCTGGGGCAAGAGCACCTGCTTGCAGCTGGGGCCAAGAACATGCACTTTGTGTCCCACGGAGGCGTCCAGGTGCGTTTCCGGGCTGGGCGGAGGCAGGAGTGGGGCCCAGACTGCTTCGAGGAGGGGGGCCCGGGCTGCTCAGGCTTAGCCCTGGCAGGCCGGGGGCGCCCTGTGCCCGTTCCCCACACAGCTCCGTCGGAGCCTGACTCCCTCCCTGCCTCTCCCACGCCCAGGCCTTTCTGACCAGAGTGTGGTGGGGGAAGCTGTGTGTGGACAACGGGCTCTGGAGGGTGATCCTGTGCGTGGCGTTCTTCCCCCTCGTCTGCACCGGCTTCCTCACCTTCAGGTACCGCCAGGGCTGGCGCGGGGCTGCCGGGAGCCGGCCTGCAGCACGTGCCTTCTGAATCTTTGCTTCCCTCAGCCTCTGCCTCTCCCCTGTGGTGTAAATAGCTCTGCCCTGGGGGGACATGAGCTGCCCTGGCTTGCCCTCCCCCCTTCCCTCCTCTGTGCCCTGCTCTGCCGGAGCTCTGAGCCCCACTCCATGGGCACAGCCACCCGAGCGCCCCCAACACCGGGCTCCCTCCTCTGTGCCCTGCTCTGCCGGAGCTCTGAGCCCCACTCCATGGGCGCTGGGCCACCCGAGCGCCCCCAACACCGGGGAGTGGCAAAGTATCTGATTAGGAGCCATGACCCCAGTCCATTCCATCTGAGGAGGGATTGACAAGCCTGGGACTGTTCAGTCTGGAAAAGAGATGATTAAGGGGGAGAGATGACAGAGGTCTATGAAGTCATGACTGGTGTGGAAAAGTTGCATGAAAGTGTTATTTATTCCTTCCAACAACGCAAGAACCAGGAATCACTCAATGAAAGCAATAGGCAGCAAATGTGAAACGAATGAAAATATTTCCTCACAATCAACCTGTGGAACTCCTTGCCACAGGATGCGTTGAGGACCAAGACCATAACAGGATTCAATAAAGAACTTGAGACATTCACAGGGAATAGGTCCCGCACTAGCTATTATTCCCCGGGGGCAGAGATCCGATACTTTTTGAGGAAGAATGGCTCTTGCGCAAAAGGGAGCCGAGGAGGAAATGCAAATGAGAGCACGACATATGCAAATGAGCACTCCATTTGCATTTCTTCTCTCAGAAGAGGCTTGTAGTGTAGACGTAGCTTCTGAGATTGCCTGTTCTGTGCATTCCCCCGGGGCACCTGGCATTGGCAGGACAGGACACTGGCTGGCTGGGCCTTTGGTCTGACCCAGTGTGGCCATTCTGATGTTCTTACCCTGGACCCGGGTGTATCTGCCCCGCTCCCCTCCCAGAGCTGCGCTGGAGCCCGGGAGATCCGACGGGGGCTCTCCCCATTGAGTTAGGAACCAAGTGGACACATCCAATGGTGGCTTGCCACGGGATGTCAGAACGCGATCGCGTTAGAGCTGAGTTGTGTCCACGGGAAGAGAGCTCACTGCTCAATTACCGGCCAGAACACTAGAGCTCTCAGGTGCCGGAGGAGCCTTTGGGATCCTGGGGAAAGCTGCCCCCACCCCAATCTGAACGGCCGCGCCCCCCCCAGCGGCCTGGCTGGGCTACGGCCACCCACCCCGGGAGAATTGGCCCCGGGCCCGCGGCCCCCGGA